GCCTCAGCCTCCAATAGCGCTGGGACAACAGGCATGAGCCACCATGCCCAGCCCCAGCCTTACATTTTCTTTAAAGAAGTTTTTGTTTTTATTTCTTGTTTGTTATAATAGTAAAATATACTCATAAAAGTGATATAAAGAAAGAAAAAAAACCTTGAAAAGAATTGTTAGGAAGACAAGGACCGTTGCTGAGCACAGTGGCTCATGCCCGTAATTCCAGCAGTTTGGGATGCCATCCAGGGAGGATCATTTGAGACCAGGAGTTTGAAACTGGCGTAGGCAACATAGCCTGGCTGGGGTTGAGGGCAATCAAGAAGCAGGTACTCACCCCATCTCTACAAAAAGTTAAAAAAAAATGTTATAGGCATAAGGGTGTGCTCCTGTAGCTCTAGCTACTTGGGAGGCTGGGGCAGGATCATTTGACCCCAGGAATCAAGTCTGCAGTGTTATGATGGCATCTCTGTACTCCATCCAGCCTGGGTGACAGAGTGAGACCCTGTCTCTATTCAAAAAAATAAAAAGGAGGAAGACAAGGACCCATCCCCTTTGTCCCCCATAGATAGCAAACATATTTGCTAACACTCTGAAATGTCATATTTTAGTGAAAAGGAACCCTCCAAGCCATAAGAAATACTCATCGCCATGGAGTCCCTACATGAGGAAGGTGGGAAACAAAGGGTTTGTTTCTGGCTGGGCTTGAGGGCAATCAAGAAGCAGGTACTTGCTGGACCACCCATTCCTATACCACATTCCTCCAGGAGCTGGGCATGGGGGCAAGCAGGGGATTTCTGAGATTCTGGCAAACAGGTGGCAAGGGATAAGTTGTTGGGTAGGCCAAAGGCCTTTCCAAATTTAATTGTGTTTCTAAGAAAGCTGAGGCTCAGAGTCCTAACCATTACAGCATCTGAAACTTGTTTATGTGCTGGACATTTCCCTGAATACTTTCTCCTGTGCATGAGGCAGGCAAAGAGGAAACTGGAGCTTAAGCAAGCCAGCAACTCACCTTGGACCATGCCACCAGGGTGTGTGGAACAAAAGCTGGTGCCTTCCCCACCTCAGTATGCAGACTTTACTAAATTGCTCCAAGAATCAGAAGTGCTGAGTTCCCCAGGGATACCTACCAAATGGTGTCTGCCTCTCATCCCAAGGGCAGTCTGCAGCCCCTGCCTGGTCACTGAGCGGAGCCTGGACATTCCATAAGGGATTGACCAGGCTAAGAATCCCCTAGAGGGTCCACCACTATCCCCTGCCATCCTACATACCTTTTTCCCTGAGAAGAATTTCTTAATTGTTTGGGCTGCCAGTTCCTTGGGGAGGAAGGAGGCCTGGACATCTAGTTTGCTGATCCCCTGAGGCTCAAAGATGTCCACGTCGATCTGCATTAACGAAGCAAATTCTGTACCAGGGCTCCCGTTTGGACCATCATCTAGTCTCAGCCTAGAGCCAGCATGTATCATGGCTACCCACTGTGTGCTGTGCCTGCACAGGCCTGAGCACAAGGCCTGACACACAGTGGCACTCTGAAAATATTTACTGAATGCAGGTGCTTATGCCTGTACCCCCTCAGTTTGGCCACTACTTAGGTGCCAGCAAAGATTCCAGCCCCTCAGACTGCCCAAGACTTTCTGGTTTACAAATTACCTGGACACTTAATATCTCTTGCTATCTTTGTGGCAGTCTGGGACCCAGCATAAATCACCCATTTAGCAGATGAGCAAATTGAGGCTCAGAGATGGAGAGGTAGTTGGAGGGTTTTCGGAGCTATCTGCCCAAGAAGAGCTCATCAGAGCTCACCCTGTGGAGTCAGTCTCCTTCCCTGTGTTCTCAGGCCTGGGGTGACACATGGTGGGTGCTGAGCCAATGTTGAGTGCCAGAGTGTGGGAGAGACAGAGGAGGAGCCCTGGGTCCTGTGATCTACCTCAAAATGATGCACCAGCTGCTTGGGCTTGACTTTAATGACAATGTCATACTGCATCAGGCTTCGCTTTAGCACTTCCTCATAGGTCAGCTGAAATGTGGCTTTGCTCTGGGGACCGACATTGATGTGGATGGTGAATTGCTCCATGGTTCTCCCTGAGGCCCTGTACATGCCACCAGCAGCAAAATAGGGTGACAAAAGTGTAAGTGACATGTGGATCCCTGTCCCTTAAAGCATGGCCCTCAGAATCAATTTCTCTTGAGGGCTGCTCTAAGGTTTCTTAGGTCCTCACCCTTGTCTTAGCTGGTCAAGGTCAGGGCCCAAGGACAGGGGTCTACCTCTTCCTGAGGCAGGTCTGGGAAAAGGGCAATGGTACACCAGCCTTGTTTAGTGCTATAATGCCAGCATCTGGGTTTGGGCAGTTTGTACACTGTTCTGTCACTTGAGCTGTTTTCCAACATGGGCCCCTTTCAGCCCTCACCTCAGTCCTGGCTGGGGTGGGCAACCCTAGAGACCGGATCAGCAGAACCCAGAACTTACCTGACGAGGCCAGCATTCTCCCCGGAGATGGCTGCTTTCCTGTACTGCTTCCATGCAGTCACTTTGTCCTTTATGTCCCCAATAAATGCATTCTCACCTGCTGTGCTACAGAGAAGGGTGAACACCCTCAGAGGAGGTACTCCTCTGGGCCACAAGGACCCCTCGTGCTGAAAGTATGCTGAGCCTAGACCCTTTCAAGGCCCTGTCCTTGTGAGTCCTTGTAGGAGGCATATCCTGACTGCCCTTCGACCACCCACAATAGGGCACCAGCGGGTGGAAGAGGGCAGCCCAACCATGGAGAGGAGTGAGGGATCTCAGATGCTGGCTCCACGCCTTGGGTTCTAGGCTGAGAACATGCTGGCAGAGCCCCCAGTTTGCTCTCCAAGGTGGGGGCCAAGAACAGATCTAAAGGACTTCTCCCTCCCCTCAGAGCTGGGGCTTGCCTGTGGCCCTTTGGGAATTGAGAGATGCCCTGCATTGTCTGGCCACTGGTCTTAGGCTGGGACCGGTGAATGGATAACTCTGGGACAGGCTGTGGGAGGTGGGCAGGGCACACACATGGCAAAGTCACTAATGAAGGCTGTTTTGGGGATTTCCACATCGAAGGCCACTTCCCTGGCTTCATCAGCACTGTTGACCACTTGGCTGGTGATGACATAGTGAGCAAAGCGAGAGGTGACTTTGCAGTTGACTTTCAAACTCCGGATGATCACACCGTTGACACTCTACAGTGAGACATGAGGAGCCATGGCTGGGACAAGGCCCTCTGAGCCAATGAGGGACCTCATTGTCATATTGGGGCTCAACACCCAGCTCTGGTGTAAGATACCCAGAAGCTGAGAAGAACAGAGCAAATTTCCCAGGAAGACCCTTGATCTATGCCTGAGACTGTGCAGTGGGGCATGGGGTGACAAGGGAGCAAGTTCTCATTTTCAGGAGACAGGAGTTCCCTCTGCCATGGCACTGGCAGAGGTGTACACCCGAGGGATGGGTGAAAGCAAGCCTGTGAGAAGGGGCCCATTACAGATCCCTTTGCCAAGACTCTCACTCACTGTTTCCACAGCCTGTCGCTTCTGCAAAACAAAACAGGAACAAGTGTAAGTGGGAATGCTGAGGGGACTGTGGCCCTTCTGTTCAGGGGTAAGAGTGGAGCTCAGCCTGTGCCCTCTGCGCTTCAGCCTCCCCACCCTGATGCTGCTAGGATGTCACCTCTCCAGCAGAAGTGGTTGACGGGCTGGGCATGTTCCCAGACACTAGAATGGGGCTCTTGTGTCCCTCCTGGGCCCCATCTAGGTTCAGCTGCCTGTTTCTGCCCTCACAACTTAAGCCACATACCTCATTGCCTTTGGACCTGCCTGTAGCTATGCCCAGGGCAGGCATGGCCTGGAAGGCGAGGAGGGATGCCAGACACAAGCACAGCAGCACCCGCAGCCCCATGGTACCATCCATGGTCTCCCAGCTCCTGCTGCCCCGTTGCTTCCCTCAGACCATTAAGCAATACAGCGCTGGGTAAATACAGATTAAACATTAGACAAGGTGAAGGCAAATATTACAATTTGGGGAAGCAAAAATCGGCAGTGAAAACTTTCTGCTTGGGGAGGTTCCCAGCAGTGGGCTGTGGAAACTCCCAACCAGACTCCAGACTGTGCCTTTCAGCGCAGAACTGCACTCGGTGGCCACAGGCTGAGACTGCCCAGGTGCTCAGCTCATCCTGGGTTTGGCACAGGGCAGTGGTACAGTAATGGGCAGCAAGGAGTCAGTTAAAAATGGATTTCTTGAATGCCCTGACTTGATCGTTGCACAATCTATACATGTAACAGAATTACACGTACTTCATAAGTATGTAAAATATTATGTATCAACAAAAAACATATTGCTAAAACTTCATTCAGATTTACTTTCAAAATTCGTTAAGCACCAACAAACTTTTCCATCGTGCTTTGGTCGGGGAGGCAGATACAGTGGCTTAGAAAGCTCATGACGTCTAAGCATCCCCATGGTTGCAGTGGTGCTGATCTGATCTGGCAATGGCTCGTCAGAGGCAGGATGTGTGGCTGGGGGAGATGACCAATGCTTTAGGTCAGTTGTTTCACATCTTGAACCTTCTTACTCAGCTTTGAAAAGAAGAACAAAAGTAAACTTCACCGTTCTTCCACCTGATGCCTGGCAGGTAAAGTGGAGTGAAAGATGATGATGTGTTTCCATAACTGAGCGTTGATTATGTGCAATGCATTCAGGGGTGTCCAAACTGCAGCCTGTAGGCAGAATGTGGATGATTTGAGGCCTGTTTTGCTCACCTGTGATGATATTGTGAAAATTAAGCACAGGCCTTTGTTTTGCTCATTGGCTTTCATTAGTGCTTATGTATTTAACATGTGGCCTGAGACAATTCTTCTTATTCCAATGCATGGCAGGGAAAAAAAGTTGGACACCACTGAGGCCTTTTTATCGTCTGATTTTGTCCTCATGATTCCCCTGAGCCACTGGTCCCACAGCAGGTGAATCCCACAGAGATTCAAATTCAGTTCTCTCGGTCTCCACAAAGCCCAAGCCTGTCATGTAATGACAGAGGAGCAGAGTTGAAGACTTCAGAGGGAAGAGTCCGCAGAGACCTCTCTCATGCCTGCAGTTTCTTAATTTTTATGTCCAAACATAGGACACAAGTCATAGCAAGCTAAACAGACAAGGTCCCTGGTCAGTCTAGTCTGTGGCCAGGGCAGGATATGTTGGCTGCTGTGACCTGAGTACGATGAGGGAGCCCAGAGGCCTCACTGATCTCTGTTTGCTTGTCCTGGACTTTGTCTCACAGACCAGCTTCTGGGAAAAGGTTTATTATCCTTAGCCCAGGGTGACCTTCTGGCCTATTTTCTGCCCTTTGTGAAAGATGAAATGGATTGACATGAAAATGGTACATTTGGGGTTCTGTGGACCAAGGACTGTGGTATATTGGGCATAACACGAGGCACTTGGGACACCACCATGATGAACTGTGGGTGCCTTGCTCTGTTCTGGGAGCTGATGCCTTGAGAAGGAAGAGTCAGACATGTTAAGTGGAGCCCAGTGAATCCCAGGGAGTGGTGGGAGCTGAAGAGGAATGTAAAGAAAGAGTGGCAGAAATTTGGAGGAATGGGGCTCACCTCCCAGAGGGATTAGGAGAAGGGTCCTGGGAGAGGTGTCTGGAAAGAACAGCAGCACTTGGGAAGGAGAAGATGGGAAGGGAGGGAAAGAAAAGCAGACAGGGAAGTGGGACATGTACTTGGGGAAGGGGACAGTATCTGGGTGATGAGAACCAGACCTCATGAAGAGGCTGGGGACGAAGGCTGGGAAGAGGCTGGGGACCAGCTGGTGCAGGGTCTGAAAGCGGCCAGTCTTTTGGGCAGGAAGCACTAAAGATATTTTGAGCAGGAGTGTGACAAGGTCAAGACTGGGCTGTTGAAAGATAACTTGCACCAAGGCTGGGCCACAGAAGGAGGTGGAAACATATTTGTATTGGGGAGAGCTAACAGTGACTAGTGCCTGGCAGGCTTCTCAGCATCTTTTGTATCCTAATTCACTTACCGTTCACAATTACCCCTGAGAGAGAGGGAGACTGTTATTTTCTCCATGTCATAGATGAAGAGGAAAAGTTGGCTCATCCTGTGGATATGAGAGGTGGGCAAGGGGGTGGACAGACAGCAGCCATGGTCTCTGAGGATTGAGCCTGGGGCCCTGGGAGGGCCACTGGAGTCAGTAGTCAGCACATGGGCTCAGGCCTTCTCCGAGCCCCACTCACACAGCCAGCCACCTGCTTGACCTGCCCAGAAGTCCTCAATCTAGTATGTCCAAACTGAACTCCTACTTCTGTCACCCCCTCCCTGAAGCCCACTATCAAGCCTGGTCTTCCCCTTGTTGCTGTCCATTCCAGTGAAGGCCACAACCATCCAGCTGGCCACCCAAACTAGAAAGTTGGAGGCTTCCTGCATGCCTGCCTCTTGTAGACCCTCTTCCTATACTTCCCACTCTATAAGTATCTCTGTAATCCATCCACTCCTTTCCCAGTCCCCAGGCACTGCAAGTCTATGCCATGCATCTCTCTTATCTGGATGGCTGATCCCCTATTCCACTGTTCCTACAGTCCATTCTCCAGGCAGCAGCCAGAGTCATTTCAAAGGACCAGTCTGCTCAGGACTTTTCCTGTCTCCACTCTCCAGGCAGCAGCCAGAGTCATTTCAAAG